TCCCCTCCCTCAAAAAAAGCAATGGCCCAACATTCCCTCCTGAGGCAGAGTAAACTTAGATTGTAACAGCAGCAACAAGGGAAGTGTAACTGTTCTAGCTCTTATCAAACACCAAGAATTTTAACTCACTTCCCTCTTTGTCTTAGGGAACTAGCGTCTAAACATTTCAATGACAGTACCTATAATGGCTAACATTTCTAATGCTTCTTTTTAATTCAAGCCAAGTCTCCTCTAATTAAATACATAAACAATCATTGTTCTCTCAAAAAGAACAAAGAGCTCCAATTAGATATGAAAATTAAATTTCCTCTTAAAAGAATTTTGTTGGACCAAAATTAACAAGCTTTTGTTGAGGAATGAATAATAAAGCCAACCGTTTGTTTTTTGAACCTTACATTTTTAAACACAACATATGCCAGGTGTCAGTTCAGCACTGTAATTATACAATTATGCAAGCTCAAGAAAAAACTGGAGTTGATTAGACGCAAATGTACAAATTAACTTTCCCCTCTAAGCATGGGGAAGCTCTCGGGAGCTGGTATCTGAGTCTGCACTGCAGCGCAGCCGCTAACTTCCTCAGGTTCCCTGGCCCACGCTGTGGACCCTCGTCATGGAAACTGCCACAGGCCCCTGGGATCCACACAGCAGTGCGGGCCAGGGTAACGCCCCCTGCTGTCACACCCACAGCCCTGGCAGGGAAGTCAGGGTGTTTCAACAGGAACTGCCACCAGAGGGCACCCTGGGGTCGGCAGTCGCACCTCCCGACAGTGGCACATCCAGGGCTAAAGTCGGCTCCCCTGGGCTCCGGGCTCCGGGCTCCGGGCTCCTCCGGGGCTCTGAAATGCCAGACCAGCTCACCAGCTCGGAGTCACCCTTTCTTGCAGGCACCGTGCCCCTGAATGTCTGACCAGCTCTCTTGTGCCTCTGTCCCCTCTCGTCTGAGCATTTGTCTCTACCAAGGTCGAGGGGACATCTGAGGCACCTCCACCTCCAGGAGGCAGACTGCCCTGTGGGGAAAAGGAGGCCACAGCGTGTGGGAAACTGCAGAGCACATCAGGAAGGTGACTGCGACCGCTCTTCGGGTTGGGTGACAGCCCAGCTCCCTCCCCTGTGCACCCACCATGACCCTGAGCCGGGACAAGGGAAGGTCCGCTGCATGCAGCATCCTGAGGAGATGCCTACGTTACAGCGTTAAAAAGGCCCAGAACAAATGAAAGTGTCCATCCTGCTCACAAGGCACTCCAACGTGTCTGACGAGGATCCACTCCGTCATGTAACACTTATAAATCCCAGAGCAAAGCGAGCTTTCCTGGGAATGACAAGCAAAGTAGCTTACAATGAAACTCTCTCCACTGCCTTCTTCCCAACGCAGAGAAGAGAGGAGGGAAAAGTTACACCAGAACCGGCCGCCACGTTCAGCAAGGCGTAGGATTTTTCAGTTTCTTCTTCTGGCAATGCTGAGTGTCAAACCCAGGGCTCCCGCATTCTGTGGAAATAACCTGGCACTGAGCTGCCCTCCCAGGCCTTAGTTCTACTTTCTGATTGACACATGATATTTGTACATTTTTATGAGGCACAAAATGTGAGCCTGAACCCTCCATACACTGGGTAATGGTCAAATCAGGTAATTAGCACACCTGACACCTTACGCCTCTATCATTCCTTTATGATGAGCACATTTACATTCTGAATGTGAGAAAAAGGGGGAAATAAGTTAAGCAAAGAAACTCTCAATTGATTTTAAAGCAGGAGAAATAAAACAACAATGTTATTGTGCTAATGCCACAGACTTCCACACTTCCTGGTTTAAAAGGCCAATTTGGGGCCAGGGATTTAGCTCAATGGTTCTGCCGCCTGCTTTGCAAGCACAAGGTCTGGAGTTCGATCCCCAGTAAACACACACAAAAAATATTTTGCCAGGGATTTAGCTCAGTGGTTCTGCTGCTTGCCCCCAAAGCGCAAGGTCCTTAGTTCAATCCCCAGTACCCAAAAAAAAAAGGCCAATTTTATGTAATATTTATCTTTACCTACAGAAAACCACAGGGCTTTTTTTAAGAAAGTACCAGGCATGGTGGCACATGCCTATAATCCCAGCTAATCAAGAGGTAGAGGCAGAAGGACCATATTCAAAAGGCCAGCCTGGGTAACGCAGTGAGACCTTGTCTCAAAATAAAATAAATAAAAAGGGCTGGAGATGTAGCTCTGTGGTGAAGCACTTGCCTAGCATACACAAAGTCTTGGGAAGGAAGGAAAGAAGAAAGGAAGGCAGGGAGGGAGGGAGAGAAGGAGGATACAATTTTATTATTCCAACAAAGGTAGAAGAAAGGCAATAACTCCCACCCAACAGAAAGTTTAAACTATCTCATCAACAACCTAGAAGAAAAATATTTTAAATTATGACTAGGTACTAGCTATAAAATAATAATCAAATGTTAAAATTAGTGAACTATCACTAACACTAGATGGAATGACAAATTCATAGCTTTAAATGTCATGGTAACAACACAAGAAACAAAGTGAATGATGTACAAAAAATATGTAAATAAGCTGGAGTAGAGAAGCAGGGACTTTGAAGAAAGCACTTCTCTTTCCCCTCATTATCTCTGCCTGTTCCATCTCAATCGGCGGGCAGATGAACATGTGTCTCTGAGCACCGCTGTACAGAGCTGGACTGCACCAGGGAGAGCTGAGTGTTTAATAACTACGACAGCTGCATGTGACCCGGCGCGCAAAGGAGCTTCAATCAGCCGCTCTAATCTCACTTTGCTCCGGTCTGCCCTTCTCGGCTCATCTTCCCATTGTGTCTGCCTTTCATGCTCATGTTAGCTACTTCTCCTCAAACCTAGTACAGATACATTACCCCTTAAGAGGTAAACTCAAAATGTTGATTCCAAAAGCCTCATGCAAGTGAAATGGAGAAAAATAGCTAAGAAACGCTCGGGGGGAAAGATTATCTTGACAGGAAAAGACTTCCCATATACTAAAGAAATCACTAAAAATCAGGGCCATGTAAACCTTGAGGCGAACAGGGCGCGAACCCAGAGGGGATGAGGAAGCGTCGTTCAGGGCTACCAGAGCCAGGGGCCACTGCCGAGCAGCAGGGAGGATACACCCAGTGACTGGGGCAAGGGGCCCAGCTTCACTTCAGAAAGGAAAGCGGGACCCAGAGGGGGACCACACCAGGAAGCAACTAGAGCTACGCCCTACAGGGCCAAGAAACAGGTTTACAAGAGAATGTCAGAGACCACCTCCACAACCGTAAGGAGGCATTTTTAAGACACAGAAAGCACAAATCATGAAGGAATAGACTGATAAACTGAGACACGTTAAAGGGGGGAACTTCTGCCTAGCAACTGATGACAAATTCATTATCTTGCCCAGTCAGAAATTAAGTATCTGCAGCACACAGGTAACAAAAGACTAAGGCCCAGAAACAGGCAGAATGTCTGTGGCTGAAGTGCCACAGCATGGATACGAAAGGCCTGCACACTGAGAGACGTTATTTCTTATTCTGAGACAGTCTCACTATGTTGCCCAGGCTGGACCGGAACTTGCAACGCTCCTGTCTCAGCCTCCTGTAGCACTGTGACTGCAGGCACGTGTGCCACACTGGCTCTCCCATGTGTGTGGGAACATGTTTTCAGCGACACACCTTTCTATACTCTCCTGCAGATGAGGCACAGTGCAAAGTATATTCTGAAATGTCAGCAGTGCTGAAAATTGTTAGAGATAAAAGGCTTAAAAATTATTTCAACTGAATGCTTTAGCAAATTTGTTACTTCAAGAACAACTATAATTCAATTTTTTTTAAGGATGGAAATCCTTTTTTTAGTGAAAACAATCACCCCCTAATTTACCTGTTCTGTAAGGGCCATGTGTATATTCTGCAAAAACACATTCATAAATGCTTTTCAAATATAAAAGTTTTTCAAATGTCCAGAGTTTAGGGGTGGGGATTTAGCTCAGTGGCGCTATGCCTGCCTCGAAAGCGTAAGGTCCAGAGTTCGATTCCCCAGGACCCAAAAAAAACCCCAAAAGAAAACCCAACAATAACCAAAAAAAATTTCAGAGTTTAGACATCCCCATTTGTGAAAAATACAGACTTTTCCTTCATACCAAGGCAATATAAAAAATGTTACTAAAATACAAATTATTAAAGGTTATTAAATAACAACTTGCATGATCATCACAAATAAGCTGATCAAAGATACAACCTCAGGTTTTATAAGTGACAAACTTTTCCAAGGCAAAGACTTAAGTTTTAAAAATCACAGATAAGAATTCTGAGGAGCCCTTTTATACTATGGAGGGTCCCAAGGGGGCTCCTTCCTCCTCTGGGTGCCTGTGCTTTGCTCTTCTGCATTTACACAGCTGCTATCTCACACTTCCTGTTTTCATCCCATCCCCGGAGGTGAGACCTTCCGTGTGCCTATACCCTCGTGCCTGCGTGGGGCCCGCAACTGCAGGCAAATGACGTAATCTGGAAAGGCTGATAAGGTGTGATGTTGTCATCCCATCCCAGGATCACAGACCCGCTGGGACCCAGGCAGGAGGCTCATCTTGGTGGCCTCCGTGTCACTCCCAGAGAAGCACTCCAGCCCCTGGCTCTGCACAACCTCAGACAACAGAACGCAAACGTCCAGGGTTGGCCTCTCATGCCGAATCACGCACAGGGGCTAACCTGGAAAATCACATCTTGTAACAAATGCTGCTCAGTGTTAAATCGGGGGGCCCTGGCCAAAGCGTCCCTTCTCTGAACTCAAAATGGCACCTGACAAGATGATGAGGTGCCGGGCTGCGGGGTAAGCAGTGATATGGGGGGACAACACAGTTATAAAAAGCAGTTCTGCTGCAGACTCTGCTGTCATCTTAAAGCAGGACACTTAAGTGAATGAGAAGCGGTCTACTCCACTGCAGGCAGCTGCTCCAGGCGCCAGGATCGTGTAAATTCGGGAGCATCCGGGCTGACAGCGCCAGCCTGGACAGGGCCAGAACCTTACCCCTTCCCGCAGGCACCTCGTCAGCACGGTGTACGTGGCCAGGGGGACGGCCCAGCACTGCCGGGGCAGCCTGCTCTTCTCTTCCTGAAACGAAGCGAAGGGAAGACAGTGACGTCAGCAGCACAGAAAGACACTGAGCCCCCCAAGAGCACAGCAGCCACACAAACCTTCTTAATGCCCTGTTAGAATCACCACGCACGCCCGGTCCCCGCTCAGAAGCCAGGGGGAAAGGCCTGAGGAGGGAGTGTGACCGACCCGACCGGGAAGGAGCCCGGCGACGCTGGTGCCCCCTGTAAAGCACGGCTGGCTGGAATGGTCGAGCTGGGACACCCGCTTGGGGTCACACTCGGGACAGCGCACCAACATGGGCGGACAGGCTGCATGGGAGACAGCCTGTGGCCAAAATATGAAAATACGATTAGCAGGTCCGCTGATCTTAACGACAGCAGCAGTAATTCTCTCGCAGAAAATTAACCAGGTTAGTATAACATCTCAAGTGCTGTGCAGAAAAGTGAAAACGGCAATCTCTCACCGCAGGAATTTGGTCCTCCTCACTGAAAACTAGGACAGACCTGGTGCACTATGGGTCAGAAGTGCCTCATGCTTGTGATGAGAACTCTGCCCTCTCAAACTGTAACCGACTTAGCAATAAAACCCTGCTCCGGTCACCGCCTGTGGAGGAGGCTGGCGTGACTGTGGTTAGAAGCTGCTCCAGCTCGAAACTCACTAATTTGGAGCCAAAATTAAGTTCTACACACAAGTCCCTTCCCATCCGGCTCACCTACTCCAAACCTCTGCGACCATCCCCGTTCCCAGCCCCGGGCTCCTCCCCTGCCAGGCACTCAGATCCGATCCGGGCCCCATCTTCACGGACTCCTGCGCGAAACCTGCACATCATCTGTTGCAGGGCCTGGCCTTGCTCCAAGGGCCCCAACCTGGAGGAGGCGCGCAGGCAGCAGGGCTTCCCGGCAGGGGGCACCACGGATCACAGTCCACCTCTGGCCACCGCCGCTCCTGAAGGAAAAGGACCACTTCCGGCGGCGCCTCGCCCGGGAGCAGCCGCCTGACCCAGCCCTGCGCCTTCCTCCAGTCGGCCGCCTCCTGAGGGTACCTCTCCTCGCCCGCTCCTCACCTGCCTGCTCAATCCGCCTTGCTAACTCTCTCACCCTGGGCGCGGGAGGCGAAAACGCAAGCGGCTCCACTGAGCCAACTCTTCCGTGCTTTTCCTCAGACGAAGCCTGGCTTGGCCCTGCTGACCCCCCGATTCTGTGGCTCACCTGTACTCCCGCCGGCTGTCCACAAAGACCCTCGCCTCACCAAAGGCCATTTTAATAACTCCAGGGATCCCAGACCTTGGGGCCCCACAGGAGATGTCCAGGGCTGGGGCACAGAGCCCCTCTATCAAAACAGTCTGGCTGCACCCAGTTAAGGTGCACACCCAGGGAAGGGCTCTGCATCTGCCACAGAGCCTAAAGAAATGAGTCTTCGGGGCCTATTCACACAAAACTACAGAAAATGCAAACGAGCTCAGAGGACAACAATCACTGCTTCTGAGGGTGCTGAATCAACTGGGAGGCGAAAGGCTTGTTATTTTGATTGTGGTGATGGCTTCACAGGTGTATGCATATGTCAGAATCTGTCAAATCGTAATCTCTTCTTAAAATTATGTATAGTTTAGCTGGGCATGGTGGTGTACAACTGTAATCCCAGCACTCTGGGAGGCTGAGGCAGGAGGATAGCAAATTCAAGTCCAGCCTGGGTAACTGGATGATTTAGCAAGATCCTGTCTCAAAATTTAAAAACTGTTTGAAGGAGCTTGGAATGTAGCTCAGTACAAGAGCCCTAGGTTCAATGCCCAGCACTGCAAATAAATAAATAATTTTTAAAGGGCCAACGATGTAGCTCAATGCAAAGGCCCTGGGTTCAGTCCCTAGAACCACAAAAAAATGTAGGTCACTGCGTATTAATTATACAATTATGTGAAGGGAGGGCAAAGAAAACAAGCAGGACAAAAAACCTGGACTCCACTCCTACTGCTGATGAGACGGCAGACTAAGGACCTGACTGTCCTCCTACTCAAAGTACCTGGTTTGATTCTGACATTCTTACAGTGCATCAAAGATCTGATGAAAACAGAAAAAATTAAGTCCAAAATTAGACAACTGAGAGCAGGGGACGAGCTGAGTACTGGTGCTGACTTTATTCTGAAGGCCTACGGAACTTGGTACATTTGAGTCTGACGCCCAGGCCTCAAGGACTGTCCAAGGAAAAGGCCAGGGGATACAAAAGACCTGCAGCCCCAAAGACGCGCAAGGAGATGCTGTTCACCAGCATGGCCGGTGACACAACGTGGGTGCTGTGAGCTCCACGCAGGGAGGAGAGGGGACACGCTCTGACCGAGAGGCGCATCCATGGGAATTACCAGAAAGCAGCTCCCATGTACACATTCCATCCACTGTGCCTAGCAGGGTGTAACTCCCCGGGGCGGGGGGTCCACCTGCTGTATAAAATGAGACATTTCACACATGCAAAATTAACTCTGTAAATACAAGTAATTATAATGGTTACTTTAGGGAGAGCTAGGCAGATGTGGTCCAAAACTGGGAAAAAGACTTTTCCCTGTGTACTTGTCTTTACATTCTAGTTTTGCAGGTTCATGAATATACTGGCTCTTCAAAACAAATTTACCTCAGAAAAGTTCAACCCAAGGCAGACACAAAATGCTTTCTGAATGGGATGAAATGACAGTAGTGGAAATGTTTTTTAAATATAAATACACTGGAGGACTAAATACCATAAAGATCTCAATACTGTCCTAACTGATACACAGATGTAGCAGAAGCCGAAAAATCATAAAGACAGCAGTTCTTCTCAAATTCATCTGCATAATCAGTGAAGTTCTACAAAGATGATTTACAGAATTAGACAAGCTGATTCTGAAGTTCAGTCTATCTAACACCCCAAGGACCAAAATAGTAGGCCAAGAAGAGCAAGGAGCAGAGAGAGAGCTGCAGTGCTGACTGTCACTACTCATTACAGACCTGAGCAATAAAACACTGTTCTAGAGCAACTGTAGCATTGCCTTAAAGTGATCACTGCCCAGAAAGTTTAATTTAGGTGCTAAGAATATTCAGAATATGTATCTTTTTTTTTCTTTTCTTTTCTTTTTGATTCCGGGGATCAAACTCCGGTCCTTGTGCTTGTGAGGTAGGCGGCGGAACCACTAAGCTAAATCCCCGGCCCTGGAATATGTATCCTTTGAGCAACTTCCAGCTCAAAACTTAAGAAATACAATGAGAGAACTTCCTTGTTAATTTATAACCTACTGGTACCTATTTAACTCTCAGTATCACATGATATGACTAGCCTATGACTTATCATCATCACATGTTCACGATGGGACTGTAATTCGTATGCCTCTCTGCCAGGCGGCTCTGAGCCACTAGTGGTATATGCATAGGGTGGCAGCTTGTGCCACCCAAGGGGACTGTTCCATGCCACCCAAGGGGACAGCTACGTGTTAGCACCAGTGGTCCAAGCGGCACGCACGCACACATTAATAGATGTTTTCCCTGTTTAACTCAATAGTACTTCCATATTGTACCTTTAGAAATAAGAAGTCAAATCCTGCCCTTCCAAATCCCACAGTCACATTAAAAGCTGTATTTGCACTAAGTAATGTTTTATTTAAATGGCAACGGCGCACCTATCCTGGGAGGCTACTGGTCTCCTTTCGCCTGAAGGGGCCAAGATGGCGACGCTCTGGGGGCTCTCAGCCCTTTGGTTGGGAGATGCGTCCCGAGAGTACCCCACGCTTAAGGGAAAACAGACCCTGGAGGGAGGGATGAGACAGGAGCCAGGCACAGGGACTCTCTTCCCAGGAGTGAAACTTCTGTGTCCCTTGGACGCACTCCAAGGGCCCAAGTCTGTAACTGCGGCAGCACCAGCCGGCGCTGCGCCAGGGTGCGTGAGCGGCTCAATCTCACCTGGGTGACCACGAGGTAGATCAGCTCCCCGAGGGCTGGGAGAAGGCACTGTTTCATTTTGCTGTTCCTGAAATTCTCCCTGATCAATTCAGTTAAGAGTGTAATTGCCTGAAAGAGAAAAAAAATACATTATTTCAGGTGTGCCTCTCTCAGTTCTTTCACCTCTGTGTTAAAAGCAAAACACTAAAATTCACCTTCCATTTTCAAGAACTGGTTTTCAAACTATTTTCACAGTATGGGCTTTATACTGGAAGAAAAATATATTAACTCTCCTAGACAACGGTAAAAATACATATACACTGAAATAAAGTCATACAGCACTTTTCAGGTTACACGCGAGGCAACTGTCGCCCCGTCTTTCAAGAAGCAAGCAGAGGCTGAGGAGATCCTGGCAACTGGCCCGGCCCAGCCAGCTCATGGGACGCCGTGGCCCTGCATGCGGCTCTCAGGGTGCCGGGCTCCAGTGTGTGCCCTAGCACACTGTGCAATGTCCTCACAGCGCCTCATGCTTCAACATGATTCCTTCCAAAGTCTGAGGTTAGGGATGTCATACCAAAGCTCCATTATGACCCACTTTGCAATATGGCAGCTGATTTCCCAGGAGTGGCACTAAGAAAATCACACACACGCTGAAACTGGAGACACTGACATGAATACAGGTTCACCGAATCATGAAGGAGGACAGAATGGCTCTTGACAATACCTGCAGAACAGCCCCCGTTGAGAAGGTAAAAATGCACACACTGTGGTGTGGCAGCCTCTCTCCCATCAAGGGAGCCCCAGTGCCATCGACCAACGTGTGATTCAGAAACTGGCTTGTCTGTTTTGTTGTTACTGCTTTTGATGGTGCTCAGGACTGAACCCAAGGCTTTCACATTAAGCTATGTTATATCCCCAGCCCTTTTATTTTTTACTTTGAGACAAAGCCTCACTAAGTTGTCCAGACTGGGCTGGAACTTGTGGTCCTCCTGCTTCATCCTGCCTTGGTGCTGGGATTACAGGCAGCGCCTCAAAAACTTAGAAACTTATACTTAGAAATCTCAATTTTTTTCCATGGAGAGGATTTCTTTACTTTGCAGAGGTTGGGTGTTGCTAAACCCATAGACATTTACTTTCTGAGTTTTAAGATATGATGCACAAATGAAGTTATATGTATTAAAGAAAACTTCTGGAGCAACTCTACACTCCCACAACCTCCAAGGTACACACACACAGTCACAGGTCCCACTCTGCAGAGTGCAGCACGGGTGAGCTGCAGACAAGTGTGGGGTGGTGTAAGTAGTCGTGCCTTGTAGGCACACTGTGGACACGGAGCTCTAAACAGCTGACTGAATGTAGCTGATGTACAGTAAGCTGTATCATAAATGTGCAATTACAAACTTGGTAGCACATATATGCCTGTGAAGCCATTGCTACAATCAGGAGAACTGACGTCCCGCAGTGCTTCCACAGGGTCCCTTTGGGTCTCCCTGTTCCACTCCTCCCCGGCTACTGCCGATTTCCTCTCTGTGATGAGGTCGCATTCTATGGGGTTCACGTACATGGGTTCAGATTCAACTTCTCCCTTGTCTGGCTTCTTTCTCTCAATGTAGTGCACTTGAGGTTCACGCATGCTGTGGCATTAGCAGTGTTCATTCCTTCTCACTGCTGTCTAGTATTCATTGAATGGATGTTTCTCAATATACTCCATGTGAAGTTTTGTTTGTTTGCTTGTTTGTTTTTTGAAACTGGGGATGATACCCAGGACCTTCATACTAAGCTTCAACCCTGAGGGCCGGGGATTTAGCTCAGTGGTTTCGCCCCCTGATGCACAAGCGCAAGGATCCAAATTTGATCCCCAGTACCAAAAAAAAAAAAAGATGACGATGTAACTCAGTGTTAGTTCTCTGGGTTCAATCCCCAGTAACCCCCACAAAAATCACATTGTACCTTATCAACAGATATATTATTTTCCATTTACATTTAAAATTTTAATTTAAAAAATTGTTAAAACCACCATACAAAAAGTGAGCAGACATCAAAAAGATAATAAGAATACTATAAATAATCCTATAAAAACTTAGTAACAAGTGAAAGGAACCAACCCCCCAAAAAACGCAAACTATTACAACTCAATAAGAAACACAATCAATTTGTTTTGTTTTGTTTTTTTGTTTTGGTACCAGGAATCAAACTCAGGACCTTGCACTTTCAAGACAGGTGGTGGCACCACTGAGCTAATTCCCCGGTGAACATCATCATTTTGCAAATGATGTGACTATATAGAAAATCCCATGGAATCTACAAAAAAACTTCCTAGAAGTAGGGAGTTTGGCAAGGTCGCAGAATACAATACCAACATTCCAAGAAGAATTGTATTTCTACACATTAACAATAAACACATGACAACTGAAATTTAAAACACAATACCATTTAGAAAAAAGTAAATATATAGGTGTACATTTAACAAAACACACATAGAATGTGTATGTGAAAATACAAAGCGCTGTTTAAAGAAATAAAAGAACTAAATAAATGGAGGGCTGTACTATGTTCATCGAAAGACATACAACACAGCAAAGATTCCAAGTGTACCCAAACTGAGGCGAGGCTTAGAGCAGTTTGTAGCAAACTCTTAGCAACAATGTCTTATAGATATGAACAAGATTATTCTAAAATTATAACGAAAGTGAAAGAATTATAACAGCCAAAATATTCTGAAAAAGAATTAAATGGTTGGAAATATTCTACTTGAATTCAAGACTTATCACACAGGTACAGTAAGCCAGACAGCGTGGCACTGCTGGTGGGACAGTCATGGATCAACAGGACAGACACAAATCCAGAAAGAGCTCCACAGAGGAAAGCCAACTTTTCCATTTTCAGTGCTGGGGTGGAACTCAGGGCTGCATGCATCCTGGACAAACACTCTACCCCTGAGCCACATCCCCAGCACTCGGCCGACTGATCTGTGACGAAAGTCCAAAGGTGGAAAGTCACCCTTTTCAATAAAAGGTATGGAGCGACGGGACATCCAAAAACAAAAAGGGAAACTTGATCTAAGTCTAACACTTTATACAAATTGTTAATTCAAAATAGATCATGCTCTTAAATATAAAAACAAAACCATAAAGCTACAGACGAGGTCTTCAGGATCCAGGGCTAGGTAAAAAGTACCTCTGGCACCAAAAGCACCAGGACACTGTACTGAAGAAGATACACAGCTGGCAAATAAGCACTGGAAAAGATGTCCAACATCATGGAAATCAGAGCCAATCAGAAGGGTAAAAATAAAAAACAGGGACACAAGCCAAGTCTGCTAGGAATGGGGGTAGTCACGAAGGGGTACCCGAGGCAGAGGCATGGCCGAGCTCAGGTGCCTTCCCTGGCCCTGGTCCATGTAAATCCCCTGGCTGCATCACTGCACTGCAGGGCCCTAGGATGTTCCCGCTGGGGAGACCTGGACGGAGCACACCCGGAAGTTCTCAGCATAGTTTCTGCAGCTGCGTGTGAATACACAATCATCACAAAATTAACAGTTAACTAAAAGAAAAGTCAACCTCATACTAAATTCAAAACTCAGATCTGGCTTTCTGCTTCATGAAGTTAGTTGCAGGGATTTATAGCATTTTTCCATTTCATAACCCACTGGCATTTTCTGTCAGTAGGCATCCCTGGAAATCTGTAACATTTTCATGCTGCAGACCCTTAGTGATAAAACTGTCGGGACTGGCCTCCAGCATAATAGAAATTGCTCTGGAGCTCAGTGTCGTGTAAACAGACACACATCATATAACTCACTCCACAATGCCACGGCAACCTTACTGCTCACTTGCCAAAGTCAACTGTGGATCGCCTTGAACAGGACCCAACAGATAATGGCCCTCTGAAATGTTATTTGTATAGATTTCCATTTATCCTTAAAATTTAAAGAAGTATTATTAAGGAAAACCAAGAATAATGAGCAAATAATACGTAAATGGCAAATATCAGGGAGAAAATATGTGTTGAAGTAGGTACGCTGGCATTTGAAAATGCCATACTACACAGAATAAGGGAAAATAGATTTAGTTCTTCAAACTCAGACATCTATGTAATATAGGAACATTGTTCTTTTGCATGTTTACCTGTCATCTCTAAAAATCCTATTAGCCTTCAAACCTTGAAATTAAAGGATATAAAAACAGGATAAGTAGTCAGGTATTGTGCTACTATTCTGTGTTTTCTAAAAATCCTAGGTAAAGCAAAATGAGGAGATTTGGGTAGTCTTTTTTCTAGTATCATTACACCTTGAGGCATGTCTATACACCATCCTGGTTCTCTTAACCTAATGGGAACTATTCTTCTGCAGCACTGGTTGGGTGGATACCACAGACAACGATGTAAGACTGCACTGCCATTTCCTAAGACTTCTCTGAAATCAAAACCCATTTTATCATAAACAGGACCAGGTGGAGACAGGCCTTTATCTAAAGTCACCCTATTGGTAGCTAGGGGTCAAGCACGCTTTAATCCCTAAGCCCTGGATTGAGCCTCTCAAGTAAGGGGCCAAAAGACACGCAGACAGTGAATCAGGAAGACCACCAAGACTTGCAAGCTCTGCAGGTACAAAACTTGTATTCTGGACTTGTACAGAAACAACTTGCTCTTATCTTCCAATGGTAGATGTTAAATCCCCATGTTAATGGACATATATTTAACAGTTATAAATGGACACTGAACTAAGCCCCAGGTCCATGAGGTATCAGGCATTTCCCATTATGCTCAAGGTTGTACTAGGGCAAGAGAATGGTTTTCTGTAGTTGTAATCTTTTGATGCACACATGTGCACACATGTGTGCTTTCAATACTAAGAATTGAGCCCATGGCCTTTGCTACATTCCCAGGCCTTTTCATTTTTTGTGACAGGATCTAAGTTCCTAACTTGCCCAGCCTGCATTTGAACTTGCGATCCTCCTACCTCAGACTCCCAGAGTATTGAGACAGAGGCATGCACCACCATGGCTGGCTGACAGGAACGGTTTTAAACTTTCTTATCTACTCCCAGTGGAAGATATAGCAGTAGTGAGATTATACTGACAACATAATACTTTAAATCATACACTTCCTAGTATTTCCTAAACCCTGAA